ATTTGCATTCATACTTTTGAAGCTTAGCAGTTTTATCCTCTCTGACCACACAGAAAATTGTTTTTAAGACCTGACACCAATGACAGAATTATCTTCCCTAGGGGATAAGATGTCTCTAAGGATTGTTAATGGGACACAGAGGTTTTTTTGCCTATCCACGGCTGGGGTTACAGTCTGACCTAGACCAGTAGCAACTGGAAGCTGTTAGATTCTGATGGCTGTAAAAGTAGTTGTTCGACGTATCCTTTAGAAAAAGGGCCGAGGCAACCATCACAATTAGATCTTAATCTGACACCGTGCAGTACAAATAAATAAGTAAAATATTTTAATCAAATGGGGGTTCTTAATCTGATTCACTTAAGGCCCCACATTTTATTCCCATTTTAATAGGAGCTTTCTGCTAGGACGCTAGAGAGTTTCCAGAGGCCGTCATTCAGAGGCAATTTTTCAAGTTTTTCTTGAAGCCCAAAATATTTCCAGAATCCTTGCATTTGGAAAGTACAGCAATAACCACTATATTTATTCCATCTTAGGAGTCAGTTTGCTGATACCACATGGTGCTATCCCTGAAGAGAGTTCATGGGAAATTTATCTTACCATTGGTCAAGGAGAAACCAGGTAAGAACAACATGGCAGTTCTTTCTTAGAGCTGGAGTATCACAGAAAATTAGGGTTGGAAAGGACCTCAGGAGGTCATCTAGTCCAACCCCTTGCTCAAAGCAGAACCCTCCCCAACTAGATCATCCCAGGCACGGCTTTGCCTTGCCAGGCCTTAAAAACCTCCAAGGATGGAGAGATTTTGCAACTTCTTTGGTGTTCCAGTGTTTTCCTACCCTCCTAGTAAGAAAGTTTTTCCTAATATCCAACCTAAACCTCTCTTGCTGCAACTTGAACCCATTGCTCCTTCTTCTGTCATCTGCCACCACTGAGAACAGTCCAGCTCCATCCTGTTTTGAATCTCCCTTCAGGGAGTTGAAAGCTGCTATTAAATCCCCCCTCAATCTCCTCTTCTCCAGACTAAATAAGCCCAGTTCCCTCAGCCTCTCCTCCAAAGTCATGTGCCCCAACCCCCTAGCCATTTTTGTTGCCCTCCACTGGACTCTCTTCAATTTGTTCACATCCTTTCTGCAGTGGGAGGCCCAACACTGGATACAGTACTTCAGATGTGACCTCACCAGTGCCGAATAGAGGGGAATAATCACTTCCCTTGATCTGCTGGCAATGCTCCTACTAATGCCGCCCAGGATGCTGTTAGACTTCTTGACAACAAGGCACACTGCTGGCTCATATTTAGCTAGCTGTTCACTGTAACCCCTGGTCCTTTTCTACAGAGGTGCTGCTTAGCCCATCAGTTCCCAGACTGTACCCGTGCATAGGATTGCTCTGTCCGAACTACAGGATTTTGCACTTCTCCTTATTGAACCTTGTGAGATTTCTTTTGGTCCAATCCTCTAATTTGTTGCGGTCTCTCTGAATCTTAGCCCAGTCAATTTCTAGCCATAATTATATCACGTAATGGAATGTGGGGGCCTCATTTCAGACTCATTTATAATAGCATAACGCCAATGATTTCAGAGGAATTGCATGATGTCAAGAATAGTAGTTTGAGTACTTTTACTACAACAATAAATTCAGCTATGAAAAATCTGTTGATTGTCTGAATATCTCAGGTAAGGAGCTTTGCAATTTGCAGGTCATTTATCTGAATATTCCCATTGCTGGTACCAGTTGAATTGTTGTTACCTCCATCCAGTGGACATCTGGTAGTCTATGTTCAATTGATGAGTGGGCTCTCAATTCAATTCCTTGCTTATAGATATGTCCGTTCTCTAAGACATCAAAAGAGTCTGCCCTCGGTAGCTGTCTTGGCAATGGCCGAGTCAACGTAGGTACAGGAACGGTCTTTTGAGCCTTAAAGGTAGTCTCCCTATGCTGCATTTGACAGCAAAGATAATGTCTGAAGAAGTGTTAAGTTGTTTTGATTTCTCCAAGATTTCCCACTAAATTGATTTTAATTTGGCAGGGGGGAGGGAGGGGGCAACACAAAAACAAAAGAAATACAACCCTTTTTTGGTTTCTTTACACAGTTGCATCCTGTGCTGCCATTGCCGCCCCATCACACAAAACGAACATAACTCTTCTGCAGACATTTTTAAGACTGTATCTCATTGGAGATATTGGGAGGCCTAATTCTGTTGCTGTAGACACCTCTGCACATCTAGAGTGATTCCATGGTATTCAGTAGAATTATTTCAGACCTACTTTATGACAGTGACACTGGACTTGGGTCCGAAACCTCTTACTGTAAAACATGGGGGTTTTTTTCCCTTATTGCTGTGAAACAAAACAGTCAGAGAAACAGATGGTTTTAACAGATTTTGATAGCTGTTCCCATAAAAGGATTTGTTGGTTCCCACTGGCTTTAACTTTTCACACAACATGGGTTGTACAGAATTGAAGTGCTATACCAGTCAGTTGTTTCTCAGAGCCCAATGGGTTCTGCTGATGCACAGTGCTAAGTTTAGCCCAAGTTATTTTCTCAATTCCAATAGGTCCTAGCTGGAAACTCCACTGAAGCCCCGGGACACACAATAGACATAGCAAATAGAAACTTAACCAAACTGAGCACAGCAATTGGGGACAGGTTGTTTAGGTCATGAATGTAGCATAATGTCATGATGCTAATAAAGAGTTGGAGGGCAGGTTTGAAGGAGAACATGGTTGCAAGCCATATCTTTCAAGCTCTCACCGTTAGAGGCTATCCTTTATTTTTGTAACTCGAATTTCATTTTCCTAAGGCAGATCTGACCTTGTTTTGTTCCACAGCCCTACGAATCATTTCCAGCATTTTGTTTCTAAGTGATGTTCGTTCTATATTACATCATCTGACTACTGAACGCATTATTTTTCTTAAGTGACCCTTTTGATTCATGGCATACTAATTCTGGTGGGGATCCTGTGATTTGAAGAAACCTGGCAGATATTAGGGTTTGCACTGTTCTTAAAGTGCTTTGAGAATGGGAGATGAGAAACGCGAACGTGCATTAATTCAAGATTCCCAGGAAGACAGATGAGTTTGCAGACACTTTGCAAACGGTCAAACATGACAGTAAAAGGAGCTGAATTTTTCCCAAATACATCCACCAACTTTGGGTACCCAACTTGAAATACCTACGTACTGATGTTGTTCAGCACCATAAAAAATCATTTTCAGGTCAGCCATCTAAAATTAAAATATTTTTGAAGGTTGGCCCTAAATATTTTGGAAGAGGCCCTAAATATCATAGAAGAGGCACTGATATCCCTTGCCTACAAGTCCCATTCCCCAAATAAAAAATCCTCAAAGCCAGAAACATTGGCATTCAAGTACTCTCAGATCATTAAACAATACTCAGAGTCCCCCTAGACTTTCGTTCTTAACGTTACCTTAACTGTCTGTGCCAAAACTATCACTACTGTTACAAACGGCAGTTCTTTTCCTTTCCACATACTTACATTGGAGTGTATTTGATTTATACATGAAAAACTTAGATATTTTATGGGTTGTTTTTTCCCCTTTTGCTGCATGCATTCTGATTTTTCTCGGTCCTCTTGGGTAAATACAACTTGTCACTTAGTTCTGTGATGATGTATAGCTCTTGAGAGTTTGTCACAATCATTCCAGTGTACTATATTTTACTCAGCTATATTTTTCCAAATCAGGCAACCTTGGTCTAAGCCTTAAAAAATATTAATATAAAGGTAAAGATCAGCACAGCCCGGACACTCAACAGTATAGCCTTTTACTCCTGCTGCTAAGCTCTGCTAAGGTATGTATCATTTACGGGTTTGTTTGTACCGTTGCTGAGTGTACTTTACTTGCTTCACTTATGGTTTACAATGAGATTCTTCATCTTAGTGTCCTGTCAAATCTGTCTAAACAGAGTCAGTCCAGTACTTGGATAAGAGATCTCTGAGGAATACAGAGGTACTGCAGGAAGCAGAAATGGCAATTTAGGTTTTCATATTCCACCAGTCTCCTTAGTGTCACTCACCTCTCTGAACATGTTGCTAGATGGAGTTTTACTGCTGCAGATCCCACCTCCAAAATGGGAATAATCATTTTTAAAAGTCATTAAAGCTATTTGGAGATGGCAGCTTTTTTGCAAGGGGAGGTGCACTGACTCAAGTGCCCTGGCCAACTTCAGTCCTGAATTGTGATATTCTTCTGCCTAACTCTCTGTTGTTTTCAAATGGGTATTGTAGTCTGCTGTACTCGCTGTCCTAAAACTGTCATACAGTTTTCCCTCTGGGCTACTCAACAACAGCTGCATTGCACCCTCAGTGGAAACTGCATTACAGTGAGGAATTAGGCAATCCTTTTATTTCCCCTTTCACATTTGCCTCTTAAAGAGGGGTAGTGAGACTGCTGGGTCCTCTGAGATGGCTCCACAAGAAGGGACAGAGAAATTCAAATTTGATTTTTAAAAAACAAATAGAAAACAGGTTTTTCAAATGCATGGCCCTTACCTGCCCTTTTCTGAGCTAGGGTCAAGACCCTGGCCTTGCTCGTGTGGCTATTTCTCATGGCTGCCTCTAGATACCTACCTACACGAGGCCAGATCCTAATGCAAAGTCTCTGTGTCAGTTTATACTAGCTGAGGCCCTGGTCCACCTATTCTCAAACACAAAGTGTTAGCTCTGTATCGTAGCTGTGTGCTGCACCACCTTCATAATGAAGTTTTTCTGATTGGAGTTTGTATCCTTCATTTTTTTTGTCCGTCTCTTTGCCTGATGCCCACAACAGATTTCCTCACCTTAGCCAAGTAAAGCCGGGAAGAGGTTTAATTTTATTTGAAAATGTTGGAAGTCAGACACCCTGAGGTGCCGCAGCAGCTTGGCATAGCGGCAGGAGACATGGCAGGCATGCAGGACACTCTTGTTGCTGGGGTCTCAGGCTCCAAGTGCTCCCACAATAAGCACGTCCACGGTCACATTGTAGCTGCGGTTCCTAGGATGTCAGCTAGCGGGGCGTACTTCTCCTGCTTGCGAGCCCGGGCATCGGTGAAGGCTTGGCGCCAGTTCTTGAAGGGGATTGTTATGTCCATGATCTTGATCTTCTTGGCCTCCTCATTAGTGATGACAAGGTCGGGTCGCATCTGGCTCTCACGGCCTGGGACAGTGTGGTTCGCAGAGACCTCCCCCACGAGATCTGGAATGGCCTTTGCCAGGCGGTCCTGGACAGCTTTGTGGCAGAGCTGCCAGGCTCTGGCATGTGGCTTACAGGCACACAACATGCGGGGGAGGGTCTCCATCTCATAGCTGCACTGCTGGCACCTCGTGTCCTGGTGACTGTAGCGGATAGCCCCGTTCAGAGGCAGGCAGTTGAGGCGGGTGCAGTGGAGGAAGCAGTCCACAAAGCACATGAAGCTGCCACTGGGCATGAAGTGGTTCCTGGAGTCCCACTTCGAGGTGATTTCAAAGACTTTACCCTGGTCAGGGCTGGCCCTCAGGGTGCCAGCGTACTTATTCAGGAACCGTTCCAGGAATGTCCCCATGGGGGGCATCATGGTGACATGGTTGGCATGCAGGGCTGGCAACCTGCTCCTGGCGCTCCTTGGTCCAGGTCCAGGTCCAAGTACAGCTGATGCACTTCCCGAGGTGATGCATGATGTTGCAGGCTCGGCTTGACAGCGAGGAGAAGTCCCTGCTGTCTCTGCCAAACTTGCCCTCCAGCAAGCAGCTGAGGAAAGTGGCTAGGTCATGTCCGGTGGGTTGCCTTGCAACCCTCCTGCATGCAGTCTCCTCAAGGGAGCTGGTGGTGATGATACTTACTGTCAGGTCCAGGCAGGTTAGGAGGTGGTAGGCATGGGTGACCACCGCAGTGTCACAGAGGTCTCCCATGCAGGGGACGCTGGCATCTCCCTGCCAGTAGGGGACATGCAGGATCTCATTGCTGGCCCTCAGCGGCAAGTGCCGCGACTTTTTTAGCAGCTGACAGATCTTGGAGACTGCCTTGTTGAGGGGGGTCTCGAGGACTGCCAAGCCTCTCAGGACAAACACGACGCAGGGGGATGAGGAAGGTGTTCACCACGGTGATCTTCTGCCGGGGGGCCAGCAGGGATGAGTCTAGCTTGTGGGCATCTTCCACAATGCCGTCGATGGTCTCCTTTGGCCAGGTGGCCATTGGTGATGCTGAGGTGGCAGTATGCCTCGCCGTCATTGCATTTGTCCCTGACATTGTCCCAGAACAGAAACATCCCAGGATACCACGTTACCCTTCAAATCAGGGTTTAGTGAGTGACTGAGTGCACTGCTGTTTTTCTGTCACTGATTCAACAATTCAATCCCAAGATACCCATTCAGATGTACTTTGAGATATCCCAGAAGAACCTATTCAAACTTCTTATCCCATGGACCTTTTTTAGCATTTATCCTGGGACAATAGGCATGGATGTCTAAATGATATAACTTCAGGTGTTATGTCAGGTTTTCTGTCAGGTTGACTGTAGTTTTGCTAAGACATTAGCTGGTTCATAGATTCATAGATGCTCGGGTTGGAAGGGACCTCAACAGATCATTGAGTCCGACCCCCTGCCTAGGCAGGAAAGAGCGCTGGGGTCAGATGCCTACCCAGCCTTCTCTTAAAGACCCCCAAGGTAGGGGAGAGCACCACCTCCTTTGGAAACCCCTTCCAAATTTTGGCCCCCCTTACCGTGAAGAAGTTTTTCCTGATATCTAGCTTAAATCTGCTCTCTGTCAGTTTGTGACCATTGTTCCTAGTTTTTTTCTTCTTCTTCTTTTAGGGCACCCCTTGGGGTTACTAGGAACAAAGGATTTATATAGGATAGTTTGGATAGGGATGATCCTGCCTTAGGCGGGGCGGGGGGGGAGTACTAGATGACCCGTTGAGGTCCCTTCTAGTCCTATGTCTTTATGATTCTATGACTGCACTTTGTCCCAGGATAAAATGGTTTATCCCACATAAATGCAACATCTGTTTGTAGCGTAAGCGCAAGGACTGGATTTTTGGGGCTTTCCTCCATTATAGGTTGGAGGCTCCAAACCACCTTCCTACTGCGTAAATAAATGGGCTCTTGCTTTTGCATGTTTCTTCGCTTTCTTTAGCTATGCTTTCATAATTTACATTATGGAGACGCTCAGCAAACTTTAGTGACTAAGTTAAAGCTTCTTCTTTTACGAGTGGGAACACACTCTTGTGCAGAATAGCCACCCTGCATCCCTTAAGCCTTGTTTTGAATGCTTGAGTAGTGGCCCTGGCAGTTGGTAGAGGTTTGTGCTATAAGAAGCCAAAGCGGATGAAAGCTCCGTACCCAAAGGGGGAAGCAGGAAGTCCTAGATTCCCGATAGAGGCTTTCCTCTCTTCTCCTCAGCCTGAAAGCTACTTTCAAGTAAGAATAGACGCAGGAAAATTGGCTGGTATTTCTGAAAAGAAGGGACGTGAAAAGAAGAAAATAACTGCACATTGAGTAAATATTTAGTTACAAAAGCTTAGATAGTTAAATAATTACTGGAGTTTTTCTTTAAAAACCAAGAAAAAAACACAGTGCTGCCTCTGAATTTTAAAGCCTGAAGATATTTTTCCAAAACTTAATCTGAAACCTTTTTCGTTTTTTTCTCTGATATCTGGAATCCTTTGTGAGAACTTTCATATTCCATCCCCATCTGCTGCCATCGTTTTTTGATCATTTTCAATGAAAGATTAAGATATGTGAAGGGAAGGAAGAAAAAAAAAACCACCCCAGCTGTTTCATCTGCAAGGGTTCTGCAGAAGTGAATTAAAATGGGTTAATTAAAGACAAGTAGCAAATTTTACCTACTGTTTTATTTTTGTGGGCAGAAACAGAGGTGGTGAACCAGACCAGAGGATTACCATGGGGAGATATTTTTTAATGAAATCCTATAAAATGAAACAAAGGCAAACACTAATTTAGTTTTCTATTACAATCCCATTTTCCCTTTTCAGAGTTGGGACAGTATCAACGTATTTTTCAGCTATCTTAACTTGGGTAGAATGAAAGAGACTTATCTAGCAGCAGCATCCAGTGCTGACATGGCGGAAATTTGAGTTCACTTTGATCACCCCTGAATTTTTTGTTCCCTCTGGTAGGAGGAGTTACACTCCCTTTGCAGAGAATGCCGATTTACATTTCGATATCAACTTTAATCTACAGGCATCCCAAATTGCTCCGCTGACTGTGTCCCTTTAGCAACACTGAAATACAGCCTCTTCCAACTTGGACGGCATCAGCTAGTTGGACAAGCTCACTGCGCAGAACTAGGCGCACAGTTGAATTCTGGGCTGGAGTAAATGGGGAGCAATGATTTAGTTACTTTTTCCCATCAAGTTGAAGATTACCTGAAATACTGCCTCCCCTAGGAGTATCATACTATATCATATCGGATCGTATTGTATCATAATATTGAGCCTGCCAGGATCTGAATGTGCAGTTACAGGACGTTTAGGGATATTGGACTAGATGAAAGCCCTCTGAGGCAGGCTTTGCACCATTGTGCGCACTACATAGGCTGAGCCCATTTTAACAATAATGGGCTACACATCATTACTACTGTTATGTCCTTTTTCCAGTCCCTGCAGGGAGAAGATAAAAATTAAGAACATTCTCAATCTGGGCAAAATCTTTCTACTTGCTCTGTTTCAAATGTTCTCATTTAAAAACTGCAAAACCCACAGTTTTTCCTATCACCTGTGCACAGCACAGGTTTCAGCACAAATCATTTATCTCTGTTGTGAACTGGGGTAATGCAGTCCCTTGTGAAATAGGACTTGTGTTCGTACTTAAAGAAGAAAACGAATCCTGCCTGGAAGCACTTCCGAATCTCAAACTACGCTCCTAATCAAATCCCCGGTGGAAATGGTGGCGTCTCTAAAGAGCGTTCACACCAAAGACAGACTTGGCCATAAATCTCAGGTGCCACAAAGAACCTCAAAGAAGGGGCTGGCAACTGGGACTTTATAAAGCATGTATTGAATGGCCCCCTACAGAAAAAATTACCAAGACTAAATGCTGGATACCATCCTGACTTGGATAGTAGCAGAAAGCATGTGTTACCAATGTCTGTGAAAGTAATGACAAAAAATCACTGATTCTACGCCTAGTGGAAATTGGAGTGAAGCATCTTTTGCCTCTACTTAATTTTCTCTCTTTACACCTGCTTGAACAAGTAAGATGGAGTGAGAACCAAACTAGCGAAAAAAGAAAACCCCAAACAGCCATCTCCTTCCTGCTCCACATCTTTCCCAGCTGTCTTCAGGGGCTGGGAAGCACAGGAGCCCTTGCTGTCCACTGCAGCAGAGCTGGGCTCATCTGGGGATGCAGACAAAAGCAACAGCATAGGGTTTCCCTTCCCTATGCCTGTTCCAGGACAAGGCAGAGTGGAGGCAACTACTCCCCGTTGCCCAGTTGCTGCTGTCCCCTTCCCAAATCAGCCCATGTCCCGCTCAGCTTGGCTGGCTCTGGAGCTTCCCTACCCCCACAACAGTACAGAAAGCAGCAGTGGGAAGCAGGGGCACGGGGGACGGGAAGGGGGAGGAGGCATGTCTCTGAGCAGGAAGGGGAAGAGAGCGGGGATTTTCATTTGCTTTACGGACTTAAAAGTACCCAGGAGCTCCTGCAGGGCAGTCTGCCCATATTGGTGGAGGTTGGGAGCAAGGGGTCCAGCTACACCTGTGATATGGGCTGCTTTTCCCACACCCACCTTTTGAAAAATCCTAAATCCTTGCTAGTGCCTGGCAGAGTGCATCTTGGAATACGGTACTGTGCCTAGTAGTGCGTCCAGCCTCTTCTAATGAAAAAATTATTAGGCTTAGATGAATGAAAGAAGAATGGATGGCTTTGCAGTTAAGGACCTTGATTGAGACTGAGCTCTCAGTTTAGTTCCTGAGATTTTCTACAGGTTTCCGCTATAATTTTAAACAGGTCACTTAATATTCCTGTGCCTCCACACCACATTTGCAACATAAAAAGGTAATGATTCCTTTTTTTCATTCCTTCTGATTGTAAGAAATTGTCTCCGCTACAGAAATCCTGGCAGGATGGAGGTGCAGCAGCAGAGTGCGCCTCGAAACACTAGAGCAACGTAAGTGGTAATTCAAACACATCTAGAAGACAAAGACAGATCAATAATAGACTATTTCTTTACCTATATAAAGAGTTTTTGTTCACGAAGGAGAAATAATAGGTCTATCAAGATAAGTTTCCTTTACACTTAATTTTAGCAATGGCAAGCAAAGTTCCCATCAACAGCAGTATTAAAGGAGTGGAACAGTTTCTGACGGTCTTGAAAGACACCCACTGTGGGCAAGGGCAGACCATATGGAATTGCAGGATTTCTTGGGGAGAGGCTGAATTTTGGCAATGCAGTGAATTTTTGGAGGAAGCCTGACCGGAAACCTTAGACATAGATAAGATCTCATTGGTGATGGTGGGTGGGGAGTGAGGAAAGGAGATCCATTTTGAATGCTTGACCACCTTTCAGGGAGAATGGGGAAACTAATAACTTCTTAGCCCCTCTTTAAAAAAAAAAAAGCATGTTGAGTCAGAAATTGCTTAAGAGTGCTTGGTTAGTAGTGACAGCAGGTTCACAGACCATAGTTTGGAAACAGTTTAGGATGCCCTAATCAGTAGGCCTGCGTGAAGCGGCTAGTATTCACTTTGGATTCAGATTTGGCCGATTTGGGGGACAGGGGTTTGATTCAATGGTTCGAATCACTGTCCCGAATCAGTTCAGCCAAATCTGATTCAGAGATCCGGCTGCTGCCAAATCAGCTGAATCTCCAAATCACACAGGTCCCATCCCTTGCCCATTCTCCCAGCACAGCCTGGCCCCAGCTCCTGGCCCTTTGGGGAAAAAAAGCCCCCACTCACCAGCTGCTGCAAGGGTGGGGTGGAGTGATCCCCACTGCCCCCCGTTGCCCCATGCTGTGTGGGGGTCTCTTTCATGAGACCCCTGACCCCCCCCGCTCTCCCAGCCCCCTCCCCATGGCTGTCCCACCTCCCCCAGCTCCCGGCCCTTTAAAAAAA